CTCGCCAATAGTAATGATGGTAATTTGACAGATCACCATTGGTATATGTGAATCGTACTAATTCCTCTCTGAGTGAGTAATGAGAGTTTTCCCGAGTTCTGCGTGTGCGTGAACCGCCCCATGCTCAAGCGCATGATGCGGTATTTTAATGCATTCACGGTGCAAAATTTCCATTGCAATATCCAAATTGTTTCTCTGAATAATAAGGATATCTGGTAACAATACAAATATTTCACAGTGAATACATTAAAATACCTCATCATGCGCCTGTGTCAGAAAATTCAACTACACAGCAGCAAAAATACACCCTGTGCTACACGCTTTCGCACAATTTGCCTTTGAGATGCTGATCCCGGAATCAACTTGGTGGCAAGGCATAAAAATAACGGAAATAAAAAAAATATGTTGTAAGCGTAAGCCCAATGCCTGCTAGCAACGAACGAGTGCGCCGCGGTAGTCACAACTGTAAACACTATACACGGTGATCGACATAGGAGTTTGTGTGTTATTTTTAGTTTACCATCTTACTATATGCGGTGCTGGTATCAAGTGTCAAAAAATTAAGCGTCCGGCTAGCAGGCATTGCGTAAGCCAAATCAAGGATGCGAAGCAGACCAAGATTTGCTATTACTAATTTTTCATGACAATTTTCCCACTTTAGCTTTCTATTTTCTGTTTGGTTTATTCCCATTTTCATGTGTAATTTTTTTTTTTTTTATTCCTTTTCTTCTAGTTGTCGCCCAAGCGTATAAAGTCGACGTAGAAGTATTACCTGCATCAAGAGGTTGTACAGCGATATTACGATGTGTTATACCGACATTTGTTAAAGAACTAGTTCGAGTGGTTTCGTGGGTTCAAGAACCTGCATTTTATATATACCCATCATTACAAGGAGGTAATACATTCATATTTGCAACAAGAAAAAAGCTACAAAATTTCCCATCAAAAACACACTAACCACATTGTAACAAAATGTCTCCATTTCGAAGAAATGACAAAAAAACGCGATATAGTATGACGAATAAGGAGAGTTAGGAAACGTAAGCAAGGCAATTTCCACTCAAGAAGCAAAAATGTGCAAATTAAATTTATGAATTTTTGTATATGCATAGGATATTTATCTTTTTTAGCTCAAGATCCGGTCGTTCAATGAATTGATATATTTTTTCCATTTTATTTAATTTAATTTTAATAAAATTCCGTTGGTTCTATTTGATTGATTTGTAAATTCGTTGAAATACAGTGGAAATGGCCTCTTCATAGACTAGTATAGTAAAACGTTTTGTGTGTGATATTGAAAACATGTCTCATTTCATCAATTTCAATGCACAAAAATGGGAGAAAAATAACGAAACGAAAAACGTAGTGAAAGTATCGAAGATAAATATCCAAATAAAATTTAACGTGCTCCTTTGCGTTTGATTAAATTGTCAGCAGTCAAATATATTTATACTTGACAACGAGCAACCGCATTGAGTTACTGTTAGTTACCATCCGTGTCTCTATATAGAGGGAGATGACCAAAAATCGCATTATTCATATTTGATTCAAAAATTCAATTTCAGCGATAAGCAACGAGTTTTCTCTCTCTCTCTCTCTCGTACTACATTCAAAACTTGTAATCATGTTCGGAAAATCGAAAAGAACGAAAGAGAAAGAGAGAGAAGAAGGCACAATCCATATAACTTCCATCAGGCATACTTTTTTGTCAATGGCTCGATCTTAATTTGTTCGTTTTATTCGTATTTTTCCATTTATCGTCGTGCTCTCTACTCAACATTGATTCAGATGGCAAATTTCATTTACTGCCTACGGGTGAACTTCTTATACATAATTTGGGTGAGTACAATACATATACACCGCATTGACACTGATGTAATCGCACGAAATCAAACATCATTGAATTGAAGCTATTAAAAAGCTTAAAGTTTAAAAAAGTTTTTATTTTTCAGACCCTAAAAGTCTTTTAGCCATTTCAATTCATTTTCACTATCCCCTTGTGTATTTGTTAAATTTCAGAATACAACGATCGATTTCCGTCATATCGATGTCGTACTATGCATCGACTAACAAAACAAGTGGTAGCAAGCTCATCTTCCAAAGTTAGAATAAACGGTAAGTCGTGTGCATTAAATTTCTCTTCTCTCCACCAGAACTCCGCATCTCTTTGGTAATCGTTACCTTTTGCTTTATTCTTCCACTTTTACTTTCTAGTTTACGCTATATTATTGTTTATAAGACGATGATTATCACATCGAGTCATATGGTTAAGAGTGTCAAGTTCACATAGTTCATCCATATGATATTCTAGAATTGAGTAATAACCTATTAGGCACGAATTTGTTATAATTGTTCTACTGTGAATATGAATACAAACAATAATATATAATTTGCATAGCAAATACATCAACAATCCGTTCAGAGTGTGTCTCACGCTAAATATATTGCTTTTGCTGCGCGCAGGCAGCCAAACACAGCGAAAATTTGTGTTAAAATATGCATGCACGCATCGCAGTTTGGTTGAGTCCGACGTTATCGACATGACACGTGTACGTGAGTGTTTATGCTGGCTTCTGTTCTCAAACCAACGATTCAAATGAATGGCAACATTTTTGCAACACAATTTTAATTTTCTGGAAATACAATATTCCTTGGGTCAGATATAAATTCAAACAGATAAAATAACAGTATGAGACAGACCAGAGCGTTACGTGGTTGCGCGTTAGCTGTCACCCGTTAAAAGATATTGCTTATGAACTCATATTTTGTTATGTAAATGCATTCGATGGAAACAAATGAACAACCCAAATAACCGATGTATTCAGCTGTCTGCGCGTCATTTCCAAAGGGATATTTCAATTTTTTTTCACCAGAAAAAACGCCATCTAACGTCGTGCCCGTAAATTATTTTACTGTAGATTTAGTCGAACACGAACCTTTGTTCGAACTTATTCGTTCGAAAATTTGTTTTTTCGATATTGTTCGAAACGTACCCGAAACAATTTTCAGGTCGAAATTTAGAGCTGCTCACGAACACGAAC